ATGGGGGTGAGAGAATAGTACCAGGAAAACATGACAGTTTAGTGAATATGAGGGATTAAAATGAGTAAATGAATCTGCACCAGTTAGAATGATTCAATAGTCTCCAGCCAGTGATTAGTATCCTAAAGATTCTAACCAGGCACTCTACAACTCTCTACGCGGCTGGTACAATCTAACTGTCAGAGACTTCATTTAGTGATAACAGGTTTCACTTTGATCACCCATAACTCTTTTTCAGCTAAATCTTACGTGAGCTAACATTGCTTACTGATGAAGGTCGTGGTTTCGCATGTGCGACACTTGCCCTAGCCATCTTAATCGAATCACCCTCACTATCTTGTTGACTGACTCATTTTGCTTATCTAATAATCTACATCTGACCTCAATATCCCTGATCATATTAATGCCACATAATAAACGAGATAGGACGGAAACAACCTTTTCATATCTTATACTTTCAATGGCCATGTTTCACATGTAATTCAATGGCTCAAAAACAATTTCTTTAATTAATTATCAGTTATTATTCAGATGATCTGGTAAAACTATTGAAATAAATAGTCTATCACTAAATTTTATTTATTTAATTTAATAATTTTACCTATTATTTTATGAGCAAAAGAGATCTATGTTTGCTAACCTGCATAGTCGTAACTGAGACTTTTTTCCTTACATTTCTGTATATATACATATATATAAACAGTTATGATTTTATTGTTAATGTAAAAACTGGTTAATGTACATGTTCAGATAACTTTCATCTAGGTTATATTTATTAATAGAATTTCACTAGAAAATTTAGAGTATCAAAAACTTTATTCATTATTTATCTATCAAATTTACAAGTTTAATGTTATCTTAAATAATGTTTGTTCTGTTATTACCAATAAAAAAGTCGTATGCTACAATTATATCGTGTTAAGTACACTTACACGATATGTACATATATATATATATATATATATATATATATATATATATATATCCTTGTCGACTGTCCGTTAGATAAACTACTGAATCGTTATTTATCATAACTAATCACTACACTTTATCAAGCTGAAATACCATTCGATATAAGTGTATATGCCTACTAGGCTGGTTCTCAATAGACAATATGTTAACTATTATGCACTAGTAAAAATAGGCCCTTTTAGTCTGAGAATTTTAATCTGTTAGGTTTTGAAGTTTGAACTTTAAATTCACTGACCTAATCAGATTTTATTGTTATAATATATTACCTAATAAAATGACTAACTTTTATATTAGTTGAAATTTGCATTCAAAACTGACTGTTGTTAAAATGACCTGCACACTGTGCATGTCATGTCTGAATTTAAGTGATATTATGCTATAGTATAAAAAGTATTTTCTGTAAAATATTGGGTGGACGGGGATTAGTATAGTGAATTCAACACATTATTTGTAATAGTAGACGAAATTTGAGTTTTATAAACTAACGGTTACACGAAAAAGTGAACTAATACTTCAACAATAATAATAATAATGGCTTTATTCCACGTATTCGATACATGTGTATGAACTAAAATAAAAAGCATTTGCAGAATTCTACATCACCTAGCCCCAAAATTTGTGAAAGTTGATGTAACAGGTGTGAACTCTCCAAGATATTGACTGGAGAATCGAAAATCCCAACCGGTTACATGGTCAACGAAAACAGACAAACTGAGGGACTGGCTGCCATGACGCCATCAAAGGTATACCAGGCTTTTATACAGTGAGAACCAATCTCCTCAAGGATAATGACAGCAAAAGTAGATTGAAGAGGAAGAGAATTTGCAATAAGCCAGTGTTAAGTGTCTACAAATAAATCAGAATGAAAGAAGGAAGAATTCTACAAACAACCGCGAATAGCGATACACAAGACCGAAAATAGTGAGACCAAAATCCTAATGAGTACAGTGGATCTCCAGGTAGAAGCAGATAACACAGGAAAGGTGCATTTTGTAGAAATTAACAAGAATATCGAGCAATTTGCAGACATCTGCGCTTTCGATTATCCGGTGGTTGGAGGCAACGAGAACAAGCATAGGGTTATACACAGGGAGATACGCATGTCACTAGACATACACCTCTTAGATCAGATAGACTTCGTCTCAGTCTGAAGGAAGTAACAATGCAGTCTTCTTGATGGAAATCCAGCAAGGAAGCAGGTGCGGATCCAGACTACTATTTAGAACAAGCCAACTTCAAAATCAAGTTTCAGATTTCAAAATATCGGGGACAGACCATTATTCAGGTCACCATACAAGACAACCAGGGAGAGATCAACACAAGTAAAACCAATGACAGATTATGAAGGTGACGTAATTACCGAAGGGGAGAAGCAAAGAAAACAATGGACCGATCACTTTAGAAGACTCTCGAACTAACCAACACCTTCAACTCGGACAGAAATACCAACAACACCCACAGAATCATTAGTGGACACCAATCCACTAAAATAAGCGAAAGTCCTGATTGTCAAGAGATTAATGGAGGCTATCTGCAAGGGAAGCAAGACGAGGTGGAATTTCTCCGGAAGCACAGAAAACGGATCCACCTACCTCAGGGGACAGCCTCACACCACCAGTACACAAAGTTTGTAGGAAAGGGGAGGTACCTACTGACTAGAAGAAAGGCCACCCTGTTGAACCACCAAGGAAGGTTGACTCAGTCCCTTGCATAAACTGACACAGAATCCGAGCAGCATATTAACTCGTGTCATCGTGGAGAGACTGAATGCAAAACACTGTCGGGAACCAGCTGGATTCAAGGTGGGCAGATCATGTGCTGATCAAACTGAGAAGCATTTGAAATGGAGGGGTGAGTAAGACAAGGCTGGCTACTACCACCGATGATCTTTTTAATCGTGGTGGGGTGGATTATGCGTCAGGCCACGTATGGGGAGCGGGAAGACAGGAATGGGTTGAGCGGAGAAGAAGACTGTAGAAGATCTGGTCTTCGCGGATGGTTTATGCCTGAATGTCACATAAAATCCGAAAGATCTACTGTCGGAGACCAACAGTTGGTCAGGAGAAGCGTCTCAGATGGGACTTCAAGTGAACACAGAGAAGTGATGGATGATGAAGACAACCAAAAAATAACAGCAAGCACGAATCGGTGTGAATTACTTGGGCAGCATCATTTTAACTATAGCCAGATTGGATAGGTATGTCATAAACAGGATTGGAAATGCAAGACAATCCTTCATTACCTTAAAATCACTATGGAAATCTGCTTCACTTAGCATCAAGTACAACCCTCTCATTTGCATCGCTTATTTCTTCTTTATGTTTCAGACACTCAGTGCATGCCTTACAGAAAGCATTATCAACAGACTACTACAGGCCTTTATTAGCAACTATCTTTGCTCCATACTGAAGACCACTTGACCAGGTGGGATTAGTAATAAGGAAATCTGGAAATTAACCAACCAAGAACCCATTCCTCAACAAATACGCCAAGTAATATATATATATATATATAACTTGTTTGAGTGGTTGAGTAAATTCGAGCTTCAAAAGTTATACAGTTAAATATACTTCAAATGTAGTTGACTGAACATTCAATGGTTTAAGCCAGTCTTATTTCTAGCTGGCTTGTCCTATCAAATCTAGTTATTTTAGGATCAAATAAAATTACTGTCTAACAACAAATCTGTCAAAGTTATCTCAACGATTCATGAAAACAAAGTCAGTACAATTATCTAGACAGATCAGCAATGGCTTTATTTTTGAAGATCTCAAATATCTGTCTCCTCTGACTACCTGAAATTAAGCATCAGTAATATTAATCAATTACCAGCTTATAAATCCGAAACCAACTACAAAACGATTGATTTCAACATCATGTTGGATCATGAGTACATACTGTCCAATAGTCTCGAAACCGGAAGAAACGGTCATCCATTACTGAGTGATTTCCAATGTTTCTCTAACTGATGTCGGTTTTGGATGAACAGATAATTATCGGTTAGTAGGTAAACGTGCAGAGCAAAGAATATCCTTTTCGGAAATAGCCTGCCCAAGTTCCACAGCCTTGTATATATATATATATATATATATATATATATATATATATATATATATATATATATATATATATATAAAGAAAAATTGTTGACAAAATAAATGTTTTAAAAAAATATCCATTTGTTGAAATAAATGGATTTCTTTCAAAAACACCAGTGTCGTTAGTAGTAATTATTCTAAAATCAATGTGGAAATTTGCTGCTGTTAGCACAAAGAACAAGATGTCGATCTTCAACACTAATGTCAATTCACTGCTTGTATATGGTTCAGAGATTTGTTAAGTGCACCATGAAAAGCATTCCTAAATAGGCTCCAGATTTTCATCAACAGCTGCCTTCGGTCAACAATAAAGACCAGGTAGTCAAGTGAGACGGTTAAGCAATAATCAAGCAAAAACCTATATCTCGACGTATATGCAGATAGAGATGAAGATGGATGGATTGGATGTACTTATCGGTTACCACTGAGTGACATCATACACCAGGCAAACTCATTGGTAGGAAACTGAATGGAAAACTAAAAGTTGGGAGGTTGAGTTTGACATGGAGGAGATTGCTTGAGTTGGAACTATAAGCATATGGTCAATCATTTAGTCACTCTTGTGGTGAAACAGAAGATTTATAGAGTCTAGTTCCAAATCACACTTTGTAGACGAGAAAAAAAAGAGTTACGAGGTCTACTTAGATAGGGTATTTATGATGATTTTAAAACACCCCATGCTTGGTGAAGTGAAAACAGCTTAGCTTATGTTTAAGATATCCTCCCCTTTTATCAGTTATTTTCACTATTTTGGAACCAAGATGTTTGTGAAACCAATCAAAGTATTAGGGAAAAGAATAGTAACGAGGTTAGCCGCAAGTAATCGATTATGTTCACTCGTTGTAAAACTGCATAAAGTAAAAAAAATGTATCAAGCCGTTTAATCAGACTTTGAAATAATAATACATGATTACTATAATAAACACTAACCTGTCCGAAAACCACTTACGAAATGGAGACTGCGTATCTGAGTTGTCTAGTAAATTGGCATCTCTGTGCAAACAACATCCTGGTTTGAAGCATAGTTTTGCGACCTCACGCTTATCATGTAAGTCTATCCATATATTTTTTCCCTCCGAAATTTTCACTGTTTTATCTAGAGTATCTGAATCCCAATGTTTAAAATTTTCTTCATTTTTATAAAGGGATATTTTGCGATCACTCGAAGAGGAAAATAAATTAACTAGACTATTTCGCGACTTTCGAACCAAAGGCATGCATGCAGAAGCCAGTGCAGAAACCAAAATTATGTTCATTGGAATTCCTACACAAACTAGAAATACGCAAAACCTTTTTCCCTGTGGTGTAATCGGACTGTTTGTACCGTAACCTAAAAATATATACAGAAATGAACCACTTGCTAAGATAATATTCTCAAAACAAAAGTTTTAAAGTTGTGTATTTATAAGTGATATGATGATGAATATTAAATTGTGTTCGAAATGTCATCCGGTAAATAATAATGTTTCACTGTGTGATATATTATCTAATAAACAAATTAATATGAAATTTCATACTACCACAGTGTTCAAATTGTACACATATGTTCCACATAGATTTGACTGCTGAGATGATGACAAGAGAAAGGCCTTTTTAGCCAATCTGTAAAACCACTGAAAAACATAAAACTTCCCAGAATAACAGCTTCGCGAAATGTTTGATAACTCATATCAAAGAGGAAAAATTCATTTAGCATTACCAGACTCTGAAAGACATGAATAGCGAATCTTTTAAAGATTTACGCATCAACAAAAAATGAATGGAGGAAATCACGTTACTAAAGTATGGTATGTATATGACCTCTCTCTCCTTCTCTAAAAAAATTTACGAAACCAGACAATAAATAATGAAAAAGGTCTAATTAAGACATTTGGTGTATTACATCTGGATAAGGTGATATGATATCTATAAATCGTGGTGAAAATCTGTCCTGTTGTCAACCGAAATTTACACAAACCAAATGTTGAAATAGAAGTGACAGTCAGATTGCTGATACTTTTCCTTATTATTATTGCTCCCTTGGGTTCCTAGTGGAATATAGGGCTGCAACTACACATCTCCACTTGCTTCTGTCTTCTGCTGTACTTTTCACCTGTATCAATATCAGTCCATACTCTTTCAACTCCTCTTCACACGATCTCCTCCATTTCACCCTTGCACTGACGTCCCACCCGCCGCTTCCCTTTCGGGTTCCACTAGAGGGCTGGATGCGCGATGTCACCCAGCGGTCTCCTCAGCGAGTGTCCGATCCATCTCCACTTTCTCCTGCATATTTGTTGGGCGATTGGTTCTTGCTTTGTTTGTTCCCATATTTCCTTGTTGGTGATTCTTTCCGGCCCGGCCATCTGATCTTCAGTATATAGCGAAGACATTTGTTGATAAAGGTCTGCAGTCTTTTAGACCCTTATGACCCTCCAAGTTTCTGATCCGTATAGAAAAACTGACTTTATGTTTGTATTGAAAATCCGAATTTTGTTGTTGATGCTGAGTGACGAAGATTTCCAGATTGATTTCAGGTTGATGAATGTGTTTCTCGCCTTCCCGATTCTCGATTTGACATCCTCGTCCGTTCCTCCTGTAGTTGAGACAATGCTCCCTAGATAAGTGAATGAAGTAACCTCTTTCAAATCCCTCCCGTTGATGGTGATTGACGTTGGATGTTGTTGCTGTTGTTGGTTGGTTATTTTCATAACCTCCGTCTTGTCTATGTTCACCTGGAGTCCTGTCTTCGCCGGCTGCTTCTTCGACCAGTTTGTCGGTTTTCGCTTGTAAGTCTTCGATTGTGTGTGACATCAAACATAAATCATCCACGCGCAAATCCAGGTCTTCTAGGTTCTTCACGTCGGTCCAGGATATCCCTGTCTTCTCGTTTCCCACTGTCTGACGCATAATCCAGTCCACCACAATTAGGAATATCATTGGTGATAATAAGCACCCTTGTCTGACTCCTGTGTTTACTCCAAACGCCTCGCTGAGATTTCCGTTGTGGATCACTTGACATGTGCCGTTGTCGTACAGCTGTTGAATAAGGTTGATGAATATTTGGGGTACGCCGTAGTACTCGAGTAATTTCCAAATTACTTCGCGATCAACGCTGTCGAAGGCCTTCTCAAAGTCTATAAAGTTGAGGTAGAGGTTTGATTGCCATTCCATGCTTTGTTCTGTGATGATGATGAGTGTAGAGTTGCAATTTGGTCAGTACATGATTTGCCTTTCCTGAATCCAGCTTGTTCTGGTCGGAGTTCTGTCTCCAGTGCGTCCTTTAATCTCTCCAGGATGATGCGACTCAGGATTTTACTTGGCGTCGATAGGAGCATGATTCCTCGCCAGTTCTTGCAGAGTGAGGTGTAAGTCGCCCTTCTTTGGTAGTTTCACGAGGTAACCTTTCCTCCAGTCAGTAGGCACCTTTCCCTCCTTCCAGACCTTTTGCAATAATGGAGTCAGCATGTCTGCTGTCGTCTCTGGGTCCGCTTTCAGTGCTTCAGGGGGTATTCCATCTGGTCCGGCTGCTTTTCCAGCTTTCAGAAGCTTGATTGTGTTCAAGACTTCAGCTCTCGTTGGAGGATTGGTGTCAACTTGCAGTTGTGTGCGCGCTGTTGTTGGTATTTCTGGACGGGTTGCAGGTGATGGTCGGTTCAAGAGTCCTTTGAAGTGATCCGCCCATTGTTTAATCTGTTTTTCTTCCTTGGTAATTGGGTTCCCTTGGCTGTCTTTTATAGGTTTCGCTTGTGTTGGTCTCTTCCCGGATAGAGATTTGGTTATCTGATATAGTGTCCTCAGGTCCCTTTTGCCTGCTGCCTTCTCAGCTTCAGTGGCCAAGTTGTCGTAGAATCGTCTTTTGTCCTTCCTAGCACTCTTCTTCACTTCTTTGTCCAGTGCTGTGTAAGTTGAGCTCAGCGTCTCCTTCTCCTGTCCGTCCTTGCATTGAATCATTTTCTCTTTCACCATTCTCCTCTCTTCTATTAATTTCCAAGTGTCCGTTGAGAGCCATTCCTTGTCTTGTCTCTTCTTTCTTCCTAGAACCGTTGAACACGTTTCGTTGAGAATCGCCTTCAGAGACTTCCAATGTTCTTCCACGCATGATTCTTCAGTGATGTCGCGTAGTGTTTCCTGCTTTGCTCTGACAGTTGCAGTGAAAGTGTCTTTTGTGGTTGTGTCCTTCAGTAATTGAGTGTTGAACTTGCATTGTGGCCTATCCCCAGCTATCCTCGAGGCTTTTAGTTTCACCTTGAAAGTCCCTTGTACTAGATAGTGGTCTGAACCCACATCTGCTCCTCTCCTTGACCTTGTGTCCAGTAGGCTCCGTCTCCACTTTCTTGAAATTGAGATGAAGTCTATTTGGTTTTTGGTGTTTCCATCTGGTGAAATCCATGTCGTCTTGTGTATATCCTTGTGTTTGAACACACTACCACCAATCACCAAATCATTGAAGGCGCAGAAGTCTGAGAAGAGTTCACCATTGTCGTTCATTTCACCGAGGGCCTCACGACCCATGGTGAGTTCTCTTCCTGTGTTGTCTCGTCCCAGCTTCGCATTCATGTCGCCCATCAGGATTTTGATATCGCCATTTGGGACGTTGTCCATTATTGCTTGTAGTTGTCTGTAGAACGCCTCCTTCTTCTCTTGTTCTGAGACGTTTGTAGGCGCATAGCATTGAATGACTGTAACTTTCCTTCCTTTTGAGTTGAACCTGGCTGTCATTATCCTGGAGGAGATTGGTTCCCACTGCATGAGAGCTTTGGCTGCTGTTGGTGACATCATGATGGCCACTCCCTCGGTGTGCTCGTGGTTGTCCTCTGGGTGGCCGGAATGGATTACTGTCTCTCCAGTAGGTAGTTGGCACCTTCCAGTTCCGTTCCATCTGCTTTCTCAGATTCCCAACACTTCTATTCTGTACCTTCTCATTTCAGCGGCTATCTGGGCAGCCTTTCCAGTTTCGTACATTGTACGAACATTCCAGGTACCCATCCTTACTTTTGCTTTCATCGAAAGAAGGCACATCGGCTGACTGGCTTCCCGAAGGCTTTCACCAGCCTGCGTCATTTCACTTCCCCGATTCCAGCGAAAAGTAAGGCTATTGCTTATGTTTTTAGAATTTTTAATATATTTATTCGTTGAAGTTTCTGTAGCGATTTGGTTGTTTTACGGGGGTGGAGTTGCTAGCACCACGCTCCAACCCTCCCTCTTTACCCGGGCTTGGGACCGACTAGAAAACTAGAAAGCTACTAGCCTAGCAAGCTATTAATCTGGCGAGGTTACTTTTCCTTATACAAGACATGAAATTAACACTTCAAAAGGTACTTTGAATATTCAAGAAAGTTCAAATGAATGCCCCAAGAACTATTATGACTGGGAAATCAAGGCCCTATTTTTCTATTTCGAATAAAATAATATTTAACTTACGATTACACTAATGAGATATTCAATAGATTTTGTCACCTCCCTGTCCTAAAAAGATTGCTATACGCGGATTTTTAATCTAGTTTACTTATATCCTGTTTTACGTTCAGGTTTATCTGTCCTTAAATTTGTACGACTGATTATTTCATTTCTAGAAGTATCAGTTTAATTGTGCATATAGCCTTATAAATTTTGACTAATTCATTTCAGTTTTATTGTTAAGCCCTTCGTAGTTTTCAACAATGAACAGATATGGATGTTACAAAACTTTAAATGGATAGATTCTTACTGGTTCAGCAATAATTTGCACATAATTGAGGAGAAAATGAAATGCCATACAATCTAGAAATTCTACAGTATTTCACGTAATCACAAATTATTTAATTATGAAGACCAAATGTTTTGAAAGTAAAAAAGATGATAGTGTGCTGCTGTGTGAAATATTTTGAGACTTTCATCCTGGTATATATGTATATATATATATATATTGATGTCAGGAATGTTGGATTAACCTAACATAAACTAATGTAAGGCCTGTTAAATTAATAATTAGAATTCACTGTAAAACGAATTCACCAGATAAATGCACCCAACGCATGTAAAGAAAAGAGTCAGCTCACAAGAGTTCAACAAATGGGTAGTTGATTACAAGCTAATGTTCATATATTTCTATGAGGAAAAAATCAAACAAAAGAATGTTTCCTTATAGTTAACTATACATGGATTAGGTTCTAAGCTGTTGATAGTATCCAATAAATACGGTCAAACACTGGTATCCATTTATTTATTTACTTATTTAAACATAGTAATCGTAGTCTTATGTTTATTACACCAATTAACAAACTCTACTCCAATCATACATATTTATATTTTGGATCATTCATTTTCTGAAGTCGCAAAGAGAAATTTATAAATAAGTTTATATTCTCAAGGATCGATTTAGAAGTGAACGTCAGGTTGATTATATGATACTACGTATCAGGGAGCTATGTAAAAGAAGTTCTGAGGAATCACACATGCTACATATTTATTAATTCAAAAGTCAGTTTAACTCCTTGCTTACTGGAGAAACAGCATCTTTCTAGGTGGTATGTTACCCAGTGTTTTCGTCTTCCTTTGCATGGATTGAAAAGCGTGTCATTTATTTATCCATTCTAAAAAGTGAAATACTCTTCTGAGTGCTAGAGAATGTAACTATGAAATCTATGAATACAAGAAATACTTAACCGCCCTATTCTTCATGTTTTTTCCTGTAAACAATTTCATTTTATCAAGAGGAATATGCATCAGAAGACTTTTTTTCTTGTTTTACTCCACTTACCTCAAACTGAATAAGTGTGTAGTACGAGAGTCTTCACAAAAAATTTGTGGCCCATAGCTGAGTATATGAGAAATCTGTTTCGAATAACTGAATTCTAAGAGTATGTTGTTTGCTAACTGTAGTATGTTAATGACAAAGAGAATCCATCTTAATGGTTAATTTTATATATGCAAACATTACCATAATATTGACAGAATTTAACACCCAAGACCAACACTTATCATAATTAAAAAATAAAGAATACACACGGTGATTAAGAAATCATAAAATATAACCTTACCTATAGTAGTAATAACTGTGATCACAAAAAATATTGATTCAGAAAAATTCAAGTCACTTTTATTATCTTCGTCTTCTTTTAGGTCAGTCATGGCGACTGATTCGAAATGAGAATTGAATTCCATATTTTTCTCCAAATGAAACTCCTCATACCACTTTTCAGGAATAGCAAGAGAACTATAGATACTTAGATCTTTAACCCGTGTCACTGATATGCGCAATTTCCTGGCTGCCACAACGTGACTGATAAACTCGTATAGGTCATCACCTAGTAAGATAATTTATGCATACTAGGATTAGCATAATACTCGCAGACTAATGTTTTTATATGAATAGCATTCAAAAAATTCCAACATAAAAAATAAAACAGCAAGCGTTGTAGCTGAAGGAATGTTAGGTTGGCCATTTTTACCTATTGATTTCTAAATAGCAGTGCTCACTATAGTATAAAAACCAATAACGTATATTTCAGATGGTAAGAGTTTTCGGTGACTATGTATAATATTTATTGATCACCACACGCAAAAGTTTTGTCATAGTAATTTCGTGAGAAATTTAACGTGCTATTGGTATTTACAGAGATTCTTTTCAGAATAAATATTCTGAAGCATGTATATATATATATATCGTCCGCCAATGCTTGTATCTTTCAAACATTTATGGACTTCGTTGTCTAGAGATTAATATGACATTGAGGCTGTTTACATGATTGGTAATTCAGTAGTCCTAGTGAACAGTATAAAATCTTTTCGTAGCAAATTTTTGTTTGAAAGTTATCATTATTATTACTTCTGTTTTACCACTCCCTTCTCGACATCTAAAAGGTCGGGTGGTTTCCAAGCAAGCAGTGATGATCGGTGTTTGTTAAATATAAATGCCTTACAGAATTTGTTGAAACTTAGTATTTTCTTTATTGTCTGAACAAACTTATCATCCAACTACATCACATCCTGGCTGAATAAAATTGGGAACTTTTAAAAACTTTAATTTCTCAGACTAAATTTAAATTTCATGTAAATTCCTGCACTCTTACTTGACATTCTTCAGGCAATTTATTTATATTAAGTAACGTGTCGTGTCCCGAAGTTCCTGGATGAAGTGCCCATGAAAGTGAGAAACGTTTTGGTTTTGTAGAGTACACATTTCTACAACATATGCAAAGCAGGCTTAATCACTTCAATTTTCAAAGCATTTATAACATCGAATGTAATTAGTTATTCACTTTATCTGCATGAAATGTTTGAGCTGAAAGACATCTTTCATGAGAAATGCAGTGTAGTTGAGGCAGTTGGTGTAATTCCAAATGTTTACTTCCCAGCTAATTATAAATGTTGACAACATAGTTTTGCCTTACAGCTTGCTTATAACTGAAGTATCAGCAACAACAAATGAAAACAGGAGTTTGTTAGGTAGATTGAAACATCGCCTACTATGTCAACCAGTACAGAGCCTTCAGAGTGAAAGGAGATTAGCAGTTTGGCTAGCAAACTTATTTAGCAAAAAAAAACAACCACATTCATACTGAAACTTCACAGGAACTATAAACTTATTTTTCGCTGAGATGTGGTGGTAGAAAAGCGGAGGCTGTCCAGCAGCCAGTCAGTTGATGTGTTTTCTTTCTATTTGAGCAAAAGTAGGTGTGGGAATGTAGAAAGTCTGCACCTCATTCGGGACTGGCGAGCTGCTCAGAGTACAAGGGAAGTCCGTAGAAGTGCTGTGAATCTGTGACATTAGGTGGAATCGAAGTAGAGTCTCCAGATTGTTAAGTGAAAAGTCAGAAACCTACTCCATTCACCCAAAAGACATTTCTGAGAACAGTGGTGGTATACCTATCTTCATATCACCAACCGTATCTTAGTAAGATTCTTCTGCAGTGGGAACTAATTTATTTTTATTTTTGATTACACCTTGATTCCACACTGTATTTTTGGTACAAGTATGGAATTTTCAGCATGGATGTCGGTAGCCCAAATTTTGTAGGCCGACCATAGATATCAGGTGTGCGTCGGCAGGGGATCGAACCTCGGACCATGTGCATGGTCGGCGAGAGTCCTCACCACTGTGCCATCGACGCACAAAGTAGTATCCACTAGTATCATTACAACAAGGTAAAAGGCAAATGAAGGAGAGTTTGAATTATACAAATAATACAACCGGGAGAACAAGGAAAGCAGCAGGACCAGATAGGATTCTCACTGAGAGTGTACTGAGATACGTCGGCTGATAGGCTGATGGAACTTGTAGATGGTGTAGAAAGAAAGAAAGGAACTTGCACGATGAGTGAAAGAAGAGCTACTCTAGGAAAACGCCAAAGAATGGTGACTTCAGCCTGTGCAAAAACATTCTCTTATCCCCTCCAAGCTGAATATTCAGCCACACCATCCTGAAAACAATAAAGTCATCCTAGGATATCAAACTTCTTACGGAGCAGGCCGAAAAAAATAAGTCAACTGCGGATCAAATTGAAACATAGGACATCATCGTCCACCAAAGGTGAGAATGGCAATCAAATCTCTGTTTCAACTCCAAAGACTTTTGAAAAGCCTTTAAAACTTTTAACTGTGAAGCAATTTAGCAACAGATTCAGCACTGCGGAGTGCAGAACCGCTTATTAATATTATACTTATAAATATTAATCGAGAAAGACAAGACTGCCTGATAACACTGATCATCTCCCTAATGATAGTGGATTGGTTCATGCAGTGAACATTTCACAGTGAGAAGATGGGTATACTTCTGACCAACAAAAGCACCCTATATGTCGATTTGGCGAGTCAGTCATATCTCATGTCGCACAAACTCAGGAATATGAAAGTGAAATTATCAGTTTGGTAGATGAAGCACTGAAGACAGCACTTCATTCAACGGGGTATCAAGAAGACAGATGAGATGGAAATACCTTACCAAGATGAAACCATCTACCCCACCTACTTACCGTACAAGCATCAGACGACGAGGACGAGGATCTCATAAGAAAGGCCAGACGAGCCTTCATTACTAAATCTGGAGCCAGTGTGTACATCTACGTCACTTAGAACAATGAATAAAATCCGAATTTATGACCCTAACTTCACGTCAGTGCTTCTATATAATTCACAGACTTGACGCGCATGTTATCAAAAGCATTTTCAACAGGATACTTCAGATATTTATCGACCGACTGCTGTCTTTTCTTTATACTGATGATCAGATGGCCAACTGGATGGGCAAGATAACAAGGAACTGTAGTAACTAGCCAGTCAACTATTTACTGCTTAACAATATGTAGTAGGAAATCGAAGTGGTATAGACATATGCTGATGAAAGCATTGAGTAAAACCACATAATAAGACGTAGTGATGAACTTCAGTGGGAAGCGACGCTTTGGACATCCGAATGCGATATGGAAAAAATCATGTTGGGGGGGAGTGGGAGGGGAATCAGCTAAAACACATGGTTGATAACATGATAAAATTGAAGTATGCTGCAGAAGCTTTTTGTTCCAACTTGGACTCAACGAACGAATTGCATTAATTAATAAATCATTTTGAATAAGCTCAGTATAATATTCACTGAATTTCGGAAATTTTGTTTTGTAAGTATGTAGGACGTCGACATCTATCGCAACGCTTTTTTCAAAACTTTTGTCGTATCGCCGAATAATCGAAAGTAAGTAAAGTCCAGGAAAGCTTTGTATGCAAAATCATCTAGTTAGAACTTTTAGTATCAAACTGATATAAAGTCGTGGCCAAGGCTAAATATATTATGAACAAAAAAACGCAGGATTGGGGGGCGTTCTGAAGCTTCCAGCAAAGGAAAATAACATTTTAGTCGGACTAAATTACCTTAAAATCACCTTTTATGACAGGCATGGAGAATAAACGATAGTCTGTAATTTGATTAGGGCCGTGTGAAATACATCCGGTATGGGGCTTCATCGTACATTCATTTTGTAACTAATATATATATATATCTTCAGTAAGGTCACGTTTTTCAGCATATATCCGTGTGGTGCAATATTCCGACCGATAGGGGGACATGTAATTGACCTACCCCAGGGGGTGATGTATGGTTGGTAGATTGAAGTAATCTAGAACACTAGATTAAAGTATCGCTCATATTAGCTTCAACATATCACTTTTACGATAAAGGATGAATCGAAAGCAAAATTATTATTATATTACCTTTCACACATGAATGCATCTTTAGAAATTGAATTAGAGAGGCGTGCAGTCGTAGTCTCTCTTTTCTCTCCATAGGCCTTTCAATTTTATTGAAACAAAATGCACCGAAACAACAAAATAATACATATGCAGCAATGAACAGAAGCAACGGAAGCTTTGTACGGCAGCAACTATTTTTCGATGTTGCCTCACATTCTCTCCAAGGTGTAAACCTGGTATTCTGATTGATGTATTCATGGGCGTAGTGATTGTGATAACATGTTTCATCTTCATTCATATTTTAGTATACACCAAACAAGTGGCGTAGTAAGCAAATATCTTGAGAACAAACGTCACTCAGGGTTTTTCAATCTAGGTGTATCAAGTTTCACGGGAAAATATAGAAAATATTATATATCTAGCAAATATGTTTTTTATTATGCATGTTGTGATAACCGTTAGGAAAAATATGTAGACTACGTAGGATGTATATTAACACTTATGAGAATCAATAATAATAGTCTAAGATTTTCTTTAAAATACTTCACCTACTTTATTATGTCACTTGGTGACTAAATCTGAAGAGAATCAAGAATTCGTCTTCAGTCACAAAACAAACAACTAGCTTTCATGGGGGGGGGGGGGAAATGACCTAATATTAGACCCCTAAATAATAAAACTCCAAACATCGTTCAGAAAGACTACAATGTGTTGATATAAAGACTTATATTAGAAAAACCATAATTTAGAAAACCACCTCACTCAAGCAAATAAATCAAATTCTTGTGATTTCCGGTTTGCTCAATAAGCCTCCAAAGTTGAAGAAAAAGTTTGCACGTTTTATATTCTAGAGTAGTAGAATCTTAGAAATAAGTGCAAAGAAGTAAAACAGCATACTTGTAAAAAAAATGTTTTCTGTGTAACCCAACAGTTGCTTAAGTCGGTTACGTTGACTGAAATGGCAATAATGCAGATGACATCTATATCTTGATATACGCACCCATGATTTAAAGCAATGAAATCTTTCTTAGAGATGGTCAAGGCATATATTTTGCTTATATTTAAAGGCGATGGATGATATTATGTATCGGAAATTGGGGAAAGTGAAATTCCTGCATATTATTGTATCACTTTGAATTAGAAATTGTCACCACGTCCAAACTTGTTGCTTACTGAGAAGTTCTTAGCCCGCTCCCTGTTTAGTTATTTGCCTGAGTTAATCACTACTAACCTCTGGTATCAAGAAAAACAGCATATTTTAACAGTTCATATATAATTTTGAGAATTACGCCAGTTGTGCAGTGGCTAGAAATCATAGATATGTGTCCACTCTACAGCATTCTTCAAGTTATGAAAATATTCATGTTCACTCCTCTGAATCTCTTTTCACTGTAGCTCAAGCTGCGGGAAATATACTTTTTTTAATTTTGTCATGCCATACGAATGTGAGGCAAATTCCTCATTTAGTTTTATTTTCCTGATTCACAGTCTATTTCGCATAGAACAAAATAATCTGATTGACTTGCTATGGTGAATGCGAATTACTATTGACCGCTCTTGAGACTTGAGTTTTTAAATACAAACGTAAATAGCTGTGCACGGATGAAGTGAAAGAACTGTTTGTGAATTCAAACCATAAAATAAACTGATTAAGCGTTTTTAATTTTGTTAAATAAACGGCAATACATTTTGGTTGGAGCGCGAACGACATTAAGTTTAGGCATTAAACCTTTACAAAGATTACAGTGGGCTAAACTTACTAAGAAATTCTGGCTACATTACATCTGGGTTTCATAACCAACTGAATGAACTATAGTCCGCTAGAACTGGTTACAGCCAGTAAACTTAGCTGGATATGACCAAAAAACGTCGCCTTAAATCTTGCCATTTTCCGCAGATTAAACCATTCTTGAGACTATTTTAAACGGTGTTACAGATTCGTGATTATCAACGGAGTGCTAGTACAGAAAAGTTCTTCTCTCTGTATACTCACCTAATATTTGAAGATATATAGTACTGTCGACAGTTTTGTATGTTCTGCATGAAGACTGAAATTTATAAGTAGCGAACGTTTTGAGAATATTTAGTGTTTTTCTATGTGCGAAAACTACATAGTCAATCCGAAGTACGTGCCAGTGTCTTTTGGCGCTTTAAAACAAGTGAGAAATTTTAAAAATTCGGTAACACTAATTGAGAAATTATCAAAGTGACAACCAATAGGAATTTTCACTTATTGTGCAATAAGGTTTGCATCATTTCTTACAAAATAAACTTCAGTTATCTTTTTCTAAAAGGTTCTATACGTAATTCCAATATCGCTTTTACGAGCTAGCGTAAGGCAGTCTGACTTCTTTGTGCTCACTCCTTGATTGTGAGATAAAGCTTACTGTTCTCCGTTAAATTTCTGCGTAGGTCGTCCCGCCACTCGACTGTCGTAGCTTTAGTTGACTCCCAGAGAAGTGGTGCTGGGATTAATTATACATGGTTTGCAGTATGAGGTGTGTTAATACTGTTACTACCGTGAATGGAGTTGATCCTCTCACCAATTAGTCCTCCCGTGTCGTTAACAAAAGAAAAGAAATAATAATAGCAGATATAATCAGTGTAGTTTATTCAGACTAAAAGACAGAAAAAGAAATAAGGAAAAATGTAAAAACAGACAGCTAATTAAATTTGAAGTTGATATATTTAATATTAATAACAGTAGTGGGTGTAGTAGTTGCAGCGATCAAGAGAGTAAAGAGGTAAGGCGATGAATTTAGATCTCTACCCGTTAACAGTGTATGAAATTTTAAGGTAATTAGTCTTGTACGCGCAGTCCTTGTGTCGCTGCATTATTGTCCAGTCTTCACTCAAAGCTATCCACTGACTGCGCCGTAGCTACATATGCCGGTAAGAAGTTTCATGGATGGAAATCTCTCAGTGAAAAGAAGTTGGAACGCACACGGGTCCTTGCCCTCTCGTGAGCTATCTTCCCAGGGTTTCAGAGAGGAAGCCCATACCTACTCAATGCCAGAATACCTTTTTTGAGTGATTCTGGTCGTTTGTTATCTTATAGGCAGTAGTCAAGTCCTCGCTGAGATCGACGGTAGTTAGGTGTGAAGAGACCTAATTTCTTTAAGCGTTCAACACATAGTTTGTTTCGAAAACACATCATTCTTTTTGTCACCTGTCTTTGGACTCTTTTTAAAAGTCTAATGAAGGTGCAATGATATTGTACGCTACGATGTGTGGTCTGGGGTGTATTTTGTTCAACCCTTGAAGTAGCTCAGTAGTCAGTTCACCTAACTTTCTCTTTGTAGTGTGTATGGCTGCACATGCCCTCGCTACATCCCCCTTGTAATTCACATTTGTGTCCATTTTTTCGTTAGATCTAGACAGGGTGTAACTTGCATTCTGCAGCCTACAGGTGCATAATTACACTACTTTGCACTTTTTAGTGTTGAAAGTCATGCCACTGGCCACCATCTAGTCTTTCAAAAGCTCAGGTCTGCCTCCAGATCATATGAGTTTTCTGACCCTTTAAATGGTCTCCAAAACTTTACGTCGGGGGGCTTAGGCAGCATGGCATATCATTTACAAAAATCAAAAGCATCAGTGGCGTTAGGATCGAACCATGCGACACTCCTGATGGCGAGCCATGCCCAGGTGGTCGAAATCCATTGAAATTAGTGCAGAATTTCTTTTCATCTGGGTAGTCCTTCAACCGTGACAAAAGTGCCTCACTCATACCTGCCCGACTTATTTTGTGTAGAAGAAGGTGCTGGTGAACTGTGTTAAACGCCTTCTCAAAGTCTATGAAGACCACATGAATTGGAACATTCATATTCCACTACGATGTTCAGTCATCCAAAGCTGATAGTAAGTTTGTTACACCGATCTGCCTTTCCTTAAACCATGTTCTCCTTCATGGAGTTTATTGTTCTTAACGACATGCTCCCTGGTGCGATCATGATTTACACCATCCTAACCGCATTGTATTTAAAAATTCACCCGTTGATGGTTATGTTGATTCATCAATGCTTCTTTACATGCTTATCTGTAAAATGACTTCTGTGGTGAGCCTCTAGCAGATGATATTGCTGAAAAAGTTATTGCCGACAAACTGACTAACGCCTTACAAGCTATTTTTATACTCATGTGAATAGTCCACCATATCGACACATGTAATTCAGCCTCCAGTTGTTACGTGGTTTTTCTTCAAGTTCAGAACAATAAATATGCCCGGCATTATATCACGTAATTTTTTTTATCTATCGCGTAGCATCCTATAGTAAGTGCTCACGATGGGAAAGGTCGAATCCTATGGCTACACGGCCGCTACTTCTTAAGGAGGTAATGATTCGGACCTGGTCGCTGGTTAGAATATAATCCAGTTTTGACGGCCTTTTACAAGAGGCCTACATAGTATCGTCCCCAATATACCCAGTCAGTCCTGTATTTCTAATGGTTTGAAGAAGATTTCAATCGATTTTTCCCTGAGCATACACTGAGCCAAAATTCACGAATGGGTCATTGAAATCTCCAGCTGTGGTGATTTGGTCATACCCGAAACGCTGATCCTGTGATGGTGCTGGGCAGTAGCAGGTTGTGCTGTGCCCCCAGGTAGGTGATCGGTAGATGCCGCTTAGTAAGTGCTTGATGCAGCCTACTGTAAAACGACACCGTATAGGGCCTGGGAGTTAAGTGTTGGGTCTGCTGAACGTAAGCGTTCAACTTGACTGTCAAGGTACGTGGCAACTACCCCTTCTTTGTTATCCCCGCCTCTCCTGATGTTATGTGCGGATATTATGACCTTGTAGACTACGAGCGAATCTAACTTAATGCGCCGGCTAAACTGTCCTAATCGCGTATCAACAACAACAATAATAATGCCGGGCACGCAAGACAAAGAAAGAAGACTGGACGATGATACTGTCTCTACAGCAGTCGAAAGTGTTAAACCAAGCTCCGTATTTATGCAGTTAGGAAAATCAGTGTCACATTTAAAAAATATTAACAACCAATTGGAATTCAGTAAATTCAATCATGCAGGTGCCAGAAATAATTAGTCATGCATGTGCGAAAAATAATTAATCACGCAGGTGCGAAAAATCATTATTGATGAGTCACCAGTGTATATATCACCTGACAATAACCATATCCCTTATATTGGTTTCTTTTTCAGCGATTGTGGGGATTAGCCAGGTTTCATTAATGATAATTATTCTAAGGTATAGGTGTGGTTGTAAGTATCGGGGTTTACCGAACTTACACTGTCACATTGCTGTACAGGCAGCTGACTGAATTTCACAACCTTAGCGTTTTGTGGGATAGTTGACGTTATGTTGTCTGCCAGAATAGAACTTAATAATGGAAATTTTTGGCCGATTCAGACGGGACCGGCCTGTTGTCGCTTTTCCACATGGGTTCAGGTAGAATAAGTGGCTGGTGTGTTAAGAACTCAATTTGCCGCCTCTGTATCCACAGAATTGGATATAACTTCCCTATTTACCCTTGATCTCTAGTAGAGTCTCGAGTTTATGCTGCATCACTGTGATATTTAAAATAAATTCTACCAGTATGGAATTACACAATTGTACAGTTTCTGTATGCAGAAGAAGATTGTCATTGTCATAATCTGGCTGTGCATCATTCAAAATCCTCGACACCCCTACGTGCTTCACTGAACTGGACAGATATTTCACAGCATGTGTGTTAACTGGACTAGGGGATAATTCTTAATATAAACAACTGATAGAATAATGGCCCATCCAGTCACTTAGGAGAGAAGTAACATTTACCTGAATTTGAGTTAAGAAATGGATCGAATATAGTCCACCTACGTCTCTTCGCAACTTTAAATTACAAGGATATTGTCATTGTGGTTGAAGATTGAACGATCAATTCATGGTTGTTTCCTCAAACCCAACTGCTCCATATTTGTCGCTGGAGTCATCAACACAGCAGTCATCGTCTCATGGTTCGCTGTTCGGTGGAAGAGAGAAAACTATCAGAAGTATTCTCGTCATTTATTGTTATACCATTTATTCTTAGACTTTGTGTACAATAACCTTATTGTTGGTTACATATTGGCGTAAGACTAAAGGATTCTCGAGTCGCCAATCTGTGTTCTGGTTTTTCGCGTTGGTTATTCCACATTGTTTCTGAAAGTCTTCTATTGACAGCGTGAGGTCCAGCGTAGTAAGAGCTAGACATTGACAGTTTCTGAGAGTTGGTTGAGAGATATTCCAGAAATTTGTGTTTGTCTGCGAAGTCATTGGAAACGAAAAGGGTGAGTTTCAGGTGTCTCATAAAAGCCGGTGAAATGAAGAAGCAACTGGTTTTCAAACAGTTTTCAACATCTTACTCAACTTATTAATACAGTCCGCCATGCAGACACAAATGAAGCGAATGGAAGATTCTGGAACCGAACTCGGCACAATTTCATGCAGCAAAACAACTTAACATGACTGTAAATCACGTCTCATAAACCGTTAATGCCCCGCTCTCGCTACGCTCGGGCCCGCGCTGTTCTTCGAAGATTTCAGAAACGCTTAGTTATAACGGACGAAAAAACCAAAACACCGATTGGCCGCTTGATATTTGTTTATTGTTACACCAACATATAAAAATTATAACTGAACTAAGGTCTGTGAACAAATATTACAATAATAAATCACAATATTACTTCTGACGGTTTTCTGCTGACTTCTTTCCGAACAGCGACCGATGAGACGATGACTGTCGTATTGATGCCTCCGCGAAAATTGGGGAAGTTGATTTTGAGCAAACAACCAAGAATTGATCGTTCAATCTTCAACTCCATTGACACTCCCCGGCAAAAAAGGGATCCAACCCTTTTTTCCTTCACGACCAATGCACGTTGACTTGGATGCCATTGCGAGAACCTGGGTCACACGGACACAGCTGAAATGGAAAGCAAACAGAAAAGCCAACACACCACAAGCATACCCACAGCACAATCTCACACATCGCTGACGACCTGCGCCTCCAGACAGAGACCTCCTCCTGACATCTTGCAACACAATCGCCACTTGCTAGAATGACTCTTGCAGAATGCAACGTGACCATAGCACCAACCCATGATACTCTACCCACATCCTCTTATCTACTCATTAACAATTACCACGGAA